ATGGCGTCATTAGACGAGGGGGTGAAACGAGGGAGTGTTTTGCCTCCTCACCCTCCTCTGTGTCAGGGTGATTAACGGTGTAGAAACGAGACGGTGGACCGCGACCTACGCTAACATCCGACACTTTGGAGCGAGGTATATGAGCCGTAATTAAAGTTTAATGTCAAGGGCTTTACGCAGAAGTAGGTTGGCAAATCGAGAGATGGAGAGCAAGAATATGGAGCAGTATGTTTGATGATAATTAGATCACGAGTATGCCGAGTGTTTGGAATTCGAGTCTCACCATCAGGATCTCGGAAACGGTAAGAGATACGAAGTTGCTTAAATGAGGGTAAAGTTGCGAATGTTTCCTAAACCGCTAGAGGTTTTTTATAGTCGGACTTTGAAATGAATTGGACCTGAGCTTTGAAATTTTTTCTCCTTTTTCTTGTTCTTCAGCAAAAAGTTCATTTTTTCTCTAATAATATTTACTTGTCTTCAAAATATGCACAATACTGTAAAAAATTATATCGAGACAAATAGATGAAAAACCCGCAGAAGGGTGACCCTTGTGCGCAAGTTAAAAGAATAACAAAATACTCCTATACTAACGACAATACAACACAATATGTTTTCCCTATTCTATTGTAACATGTTGTACGTGAGGGTAAAATGGTAATATGGGAATATAGTCGTCTGTTGTTTTTTTTTGTTTAGTCTAGTAGATCTAGTGTCTCAACTCAGATGAAAGTTGCATATTCGGGAACGCTGTCTATTAATAGTTTTTTTTTGTTTTCGTTGGTATTTCAATTATTCTTTTAGACCAATAATTTGATGTGTATGAAACCTTGGAAGGCTCATTTTCCATTGTTTTACTTTCTTCTTGAATAGATTTGTTGTAATTCTTCAGGGAGATTATTATAACACCTAGGTGTTATAAGGACCTTTGTAAGACTTTTTTCTGGTTTTGGGACTTGTACTTTGCCCATGTGTCATAATTATGCTTCACTGTTCTCATATTGCATCTACCAGTATGAGCGTTCACCAGTATTGTGTATAACTTTCTGGTCTGCTGTGGCTGGCACAACTGTTTAAATTTCTTCTAGAACAGAAAGTGCTTTAGTTACTTTGCTAGAGATGCTGTCGTTAAGAGACCACGTTACTTCTAGTTAACCCCATCCTCAGTGGGTACAGAATATAATTCTATAGAAGATATACCTTGCTCTCAAAGGATCAGCTGTTTCTGTTCCTATCAACATTGATGAATGTTTTGGTATTTTCAGATGTGATTTTTCGATTATTTTGGCACTCAATGAGATATTCTCTAACATGTTTATCGAAACAGACTATTATTATCCAAAAAGCATATTACAAGTGGTACAACCTGCCTATCAACATCGACACCTAAACTTTCGCGTCAAAGCTATAACGTACGCTTCCTTCATAAATTTCTTCAGCTGCTCTTATGTCCTCCTTTAAGGGACCATGGCTGAGTAAGGAACTGCGCACATTCTTCCTCAAAAACGCTTTCCAGTCTGAAGAGGAAGAACTTGTGGCCCTGAATGGCTTCCATCATAATTATTTCAATCGTTTTCGACTGACGTCCTAAGAGCAGCTATATCTAGCATTAGCTTTGTTCAAAAATAACGTTACGCTCCCGAGGATAACAATAGGTATTCCGAAAATGGCGTAACGTCACAAATGATTTGTGAGAATGAGCAGGAGCCTCTGAAATAAATGGCGTCAAGATCAGATTCAGCACAAGTTAAACTTTCTGGGCAAAAAATTATGTACGAACATGTACAATTGAGAAAGTAAAGGGATCACCTCAGTCAAACAGGTCCATATAGTCCATAGTCATTCTTTCCCTGCCTTATCGGTAGTTACCGTGCGTCTGGCTACGGTGCCTCTTCCCATATCGTCAGTCGCGGCAGCGCCCACCAAAGCTCCGCCACAGTACAAGCAAAAAAATCAAGCAAACCGTTACCCCGGATGCTATGCCCAGATAGTAGGAGACTCGTATCGATAACATTTCGGGGTTGGGTCGTATAGATCTACTGACGTCACGAAATCGAGGTACAGTTTTCCCCACCCCTACATTTCCTAATTTTAGCCCCTATATCTAAAAACGACGTTTGAGCGATTTTTATTTTTTTCGGTTTTGGTTTTTTTTCTCCGCCACCGCTGTACCGATTCTCAAAAACTAAAAGACTTTTCTGTCATTGGCACAGTGGTAACCTTGTGTAAGAATCTCATCCAAATCCAAGCAATACTTTCCAAGTTAGAGAAGGGCCAAGTATTACCGGACAGATCGACATACATTAGTGACATGCCTTTTCACTATACATGACATATAACATCAAAACACGTGATATCGCATAACCTTCTCACCAATTGGTATGGGAAGTAAAGACGAAGTCACACATGACACTTGAAAGTTCAGTTTTCCGCTTGGCACCTCAAACAGAAAGAACGAACCGTTCAACAACAATAACAACCAATCTGCTTCCCTCCAGATGACACACGGAGCACACAGTGTATAAATTGGAAAATATGAATACAGCATTTCAAAGCATATACGAAGTCCCAACAGAACTCCCAACTTCTAACTTCGAAGCAGGAGAAAAATTGAAAGATGTTTATTTGTTGGCGAATATGAAGCACGAGAGACCCTTTAGAAATGAAAATTTAAAAGGATAACAAAGAGATAGTAAAGTTTCCAACCTTGGGAGTTGCGAAAACTTCCAGACTAGGAAGTAACTTCTTCAACAACTAAATTCAAGGAGCGCAAATGAGTTCGCGTGATAAGACAGTGAGAAGTTGCTAGTAAAAGTGATGTTCTTTTATGGTTTTATGTTCCTATTACAACTTCGTCTTTAAGAAGTTTCAATCGCTCGCGATGAATGTTTTAGAGGAAGCTAATGTTGAGTTTTATTCTTGTTTCAATAGTCTATTACTTTATTTTATGTTGACAGACATAGGAAAGTAATAGTGACATAAGGTAATTGAAGCATGGAGAGATATAGAATTACCAATATAGGAAAAGAAACCTGGATCTTTCTGATTGTGGTATTTTAGAAACTTTTAGACTTTATGTTTTGATTTGTTGTGCCACATTTTTAATCGCGATCATATTTGACTAAATTTGAAACGAATGCAATATGATAATTTCTTCTCTTATAAAGTTAACTCGCCTTCTCCAGATTCGGTAGTGATAACCTAAATACTATCAGAAATATTGGTAATCATAAAAGTGGTGCAATATTTTTTCAATACTTGCATGCAACAAATGAATACTTTCCAGTAACGTTAGTTCTATCTTTTGAGTATTGTAAAAATATTGTTGAATCGGCGACAGTTTTTTGCTTTACCTTTTTCAAAATCTCGAACTGAGTTTTAGAATTTATTCTTGACTCACCAATGGTTAAAGTAGAACGTTTTCCATAGGCTTGGTAGGACCGTAAGGTGTTCATCAAATTAAAATGACTTACTCGAGCTATTTTGGCTTAGACTATTAATAATTAGTTTCATGTGAATGCTACATAACCTGAATTATATCGCGTAATGCTAATGAAAATATTATTTTCGTAGCCATCCAAACCAATGCAATAATGAGTAATAACAAAATGTGAACTCAACGTGAAACGTGAGATTATTGATATTGTAAATACAATCAAATCGAATTTGTAAAATCCGCCAAACAGGCCAAAATAGCGATCTATAGGAGAAATTACAAAAAAAAAGAAACGAAACCACGAACAGTTGTAGCGTCTCAAGAGTATCAAGATTTCTAGTACCTTATAACATATTTATTTATGCATTGCTTTTACTACAAAAAGCTTGAGTTTTGAATTCTTCGTGGAATCGATCCAAAATTTCAATAGTTTTCTATAGTCAAGATAGTCTACTATTTGCTGATGATCTGATGCCGAAGTTTCAAATTTAAAAAACCCTATTTTTCTTCAGAAATATCTAGATACTGTCATACAGTGGTGTGACAATAACTTTCTCTTCTTAAACATTCCCAAATGTAAAGTTTGTTTATGTAGTCGCAGAATAATCTCGACTATTCCACAGGTAATGCTGTTTTGGAGAGAACAATAGAGATTAAAGATCTTGGTGTAACATTTTCCTGCAGGCTGGACTTTTCTGGCCATGTAACATGCATCACTTCTAAATCGACATGGATTCTAGGATCTGAAATGCATAACTGCTGATCTTCTTCCAACGAAGCAGCACTAAAAACTTCTTATTTCACTGGTGCGACCAAAACTTAAGTACGCTTCTTCGATATGCAACAGTATGGATACACCGGAACTTCTGTACACCGCGTTTAAATTTTTTCTAGTGCAGTGTCTACAGTACCAACGTATTATTTTATACACTGCTTATTTTCGTTTTATATGGTTCTTGCATGCACAGTGTTAGATACGTTACCATTATATTACCATGTAATTCGATTCGTTTGTTTGACAATTATTTATGAATAAATGGTAAATGATTCTTAAAAAATGAAGTTTTCAAGTTGCTTATGAAAATAGCACAGATTACCTAAATTAAAAGCTGAAACACTTTAGGAACTCAGATCTAAAAGTAATACATATTTTACGAGATATAAAAAATACATCATCTGAATTTCAAACTAATCTACTGGATCTGTTTTGGCTTGTGACCTCTTATTAAATCGTGACCATACACCCAAATGCACTGCAACAAGACTAACAACTTACCTTGTCCCTTTCCAGATTGTCACCGAACACCTTTCACCAACCGAGTCACCACAAATTTCGCTACACTTAGGAACCCGAGAGAAAACCCATGAAGGAGAGAGGGAGGGAGTCATTTGAAATCAAAATAAACAGAAATTTTAGCTTCAAGAATGAAGATCGAGCCCGCAAACAAAGGCTAATATGGATAAGAAATGAGATACCAGATAAAATCAATTCAAGTAACACAAAAGCTGTAACTTCCAAGAGGAGACAGAATAGAATGGAGCTTCAAAAGCAAACCTAAGTGAAGTTAATTCAGGAGAAATAAGATTGGAACAAATTAAGATAGTTGCAAGGATGTGTTTCAAGAGGTGACCTGGATAGAAGAACTTGAGAAATGATAGCAGTAAAAAAAAAGTACTTGGTAAGAATAATAAAAGGCTGTCAGTTTTAAAACAAAAAATAGTATTGTGCATAAAAGTATTATCAGCTACAGATCAAAGTACAACCGAGGGTTAGAAGTTGAATAGTTGTTGCTACTTTGAAAGGTAGGACAATATATGTGGAAAATGTATAAAAGAGTCGGTATCAGGGTAAAGAAAAGAAAGATAGTGAGTTAAGAATTGTTGTTACCAATGAGTTGAAGTTTAAAAGATATATGCGAAGATTGTACAATAGTGTCAGTATCAGTGTATAGAAGAGTAAGGTTAGGAGTCGATGTTAGATATGTGGTACGGAATGTGATGTGGGGGAGTCGGAAGGAAAAGAGCGAATGCGGTGCAAAATCGAGGAGCCTGCCGAGCACACACGCGTATATCTAATAAAGATTTCTGTCTCGCTCCCCCACAAGAGGGTTGAGGAATAGAAAAAGACGCACGGAATTTTCTCTACATGAAAACTGCAAGCGTCGGCGCTACACAACGGCATAGCGGCTGGCGCTCAGAACTGTTGCGTGGAAAATATCGAGGAGGTCCTCCCCGCATACTCGGAGGCAGTGGAGTGCCAAGGATTGTAAAATTTCTGATCCAACAACATCAAATATCCAAGACCGGCTTCCTGTTTTGATGAATTAAAAAATATGAAAACATCTATAGGTATGATTTAAAAGCATACAAAGTATACTTTGTAACATTAAGCATCATACCTAACAACAAAAATACAGATCTGCTCCATGTCGCTTCCAATCCCATCTTCTTATGAGAAGGGATCTCAACAGCATGGGCGCCTATATGGGGAGAGGCGTAAAGTGGCTTCTGCCGGAAAAGTAATATATATACTAAATAGGATACCTGTTTCTTGGACCACGAGTGAGATTTGTCTGTTTGCAGTACTTTAAGCAGCTGTGACTAGTTCATTGGGCTTGTGAGGTCAACCTACCCCCCTAAATGTTGCTGTTCAAAGGAACAGAGGATAGTAGGTTAAGGCAACGGATTGGCCAAAGTCTAGACTCCGCCATTTGCGTCATGTTCTAAATGATGCAATGTATCTAACATACATTTTTACTATTACTAGGAATAATAATCAGAATTGTAGCACTGAGTGGAAACTTCTTCCATTATAGAAACACATAATCGTGGACAACCAAATAACATTTGAGACAGCGTGCGCTCTACTGCGACGTGATAGATACCGAAGCTACTGTTTACACTTGGTAGTAATGGTGCTTCAGACAACGCAGAACCAATAAAACCAGGGATCCTTTTAAAAAAGGGGATCCTGCTTGGGGCACTTTCCTCTATACTTACAGGTTATCACTCTAAACATTAAAAAAAATAAAAAACGGCATCAAGTAGGTTGACTCTGCACTTCCTACGCAACGCCGTCATCAGTTCATACGGACATGTAGAACAGAAAAATTAGGTTCTCCCTTCCAGCATCTGCACGGCACCACTGCAGAGAGTTATCTTTCGGTCCGTGTAAGCTGCGGCGTGTGCTTTTTGGGCTTCAGGACGAATACTTATATAATCCGTACTGGTTCGCCAGGCCGTTGGTTTTGATAGGCACGAGCACGTGGAGAGAAACCATTTGTTGATCAATCTAAATCTATGATGTGTAAAATATGGCTGATAGGTTCATAGATTTACCGGGATTGAGAGCGTATAAAGAAAATCATATACCCTCTCCACCCCCCACAAGCCCCAAATTGCAACCTCCACAAAAAAATTTACTGGAAATGATCAGGACTCCCTAAAACGTAAAAGATTTAGATTCTTATTGTTTCTGTTTTTTTTTCCGCCACCACTGAACCAAAGACTTCAAAGCTTTGTCATCCTTGGCATAGTAGTAACATTGTGTGAACATTTCGTTAAAATCCGAGCGGTACTTCCTAAGTTATAGACGTTTATAATATAAGCGGACAGACTGACTGAAATGAGTAACAACATGGTTTTTCGTTCTGTAACATGTCACATAACATCCAAAAAATATAATATTTCAATTTAGAAATTCTTCGCAATTACAACTCCTCCTCGTCAGTTTTGACATGGGAAGTAATACTTGAAATAGTAAACATTATCATGGAACCATAGGCCATGAGTCACTCGGACCACCCCAACCACCCCACGCCAATGTCCCTCCTCGTGACTGTTGCCCCCACCTCCACACAACGCACGCGCAAGATGGCGTCTCTCTCCGGCAACGTCGCATTTCCTTCATTTCCCTGAATTTCTCCAGCCACGTGATAATTACCGTGCTTAATTGTCGATTGCGCTGTTGCACACTCTCTTGCCAACTGGGTTATGAATGAGATGCGATGGACAGTCGTCGGAGCCTGGTCGGCGAGTAATGGGCCGCTTTGATGTGTTGTCTCGGCAGGTGATAGGCCGACGCCCTCTCGCAGAGCCTCATTGATTTTATAGAATATGGCCCCTGCTGGGAGTGTGCATGTCGCATATTCCGAACACGTTGGGTAAATATGGTGGAATATTGTATTTCGCGACCGGCAGGAATTTGGAACCGACGTGTTAAGAGGGATTTTCGCATATTGCTGCCACCTTTGAATTTCGGATAACAAGTGAATATGCAAAGCTCATATTTCTGCAACTTCTTAACGTCGCATTTCCCTTTTCTTCAGCAGCCGGTCTGAAGGAGTATTCTTGATACCTTTCATCTGATTGTTTCACGGTGTGTATAGAGATGACTGTAATAACCTAATCATATTAAACGAAAATACCCCTGGTTTGCGAAATAATTGTAAAGTCTGGTTTTATTGTTGCAAGTTGTTCAAGGGGGTATTCAAAACATGGACGCATAAAATGGGAACACCAATTTTTGTCGGAAAACTCCGACAACAAAGAATAAGAATACGCATTTTTGGGAATTCAATCGAAAGTTTTGGCAGGAACGAAAAAACTCTTTATATAAGATTTTTAGGTATTTATTAGACCACCAAAAGGGGCCCTCACGTAAAACGATTCGACTAATAGCAAAAAACTTATGCCCGAAAACCGAGGCAAACTGCAGGTTTTGGCACTTGTTGGTAATACGACGATGGTTTATCGCAGATATTTGAAATTCTTCAAATTCGTGGGATTCGCACTTCAAAATAAGAACAACAAAATTGGAGTAGATTAGTCACGTATTTTTTGAAAATTTCCATTTGTTCATCAGGTCATCGCTACTAGCTTATTGGGCAATATACAGAGTTAGTTCAAAGGGCATTTTATTGCAAACTACACTAGTTTACCTTGCCGATATGAATCGCAAACCATTCCGGAAGATAAATTTTATTTTTTTTTTTTTGCAAAAAGGAATGGGTTACGTTTTTTCTTCTAAATAAATTCAATCATTTGTGAGTAATTCGCAATAAAAGATGATAGACACATCCGCTTTGTTTGTGGGTGTGTGTATGGTAACGAATGTTTTTCAAATATCGTAGCATATTTGTTCAATTACTCAGAAATACGAAACATTTGAATTTGTTTAGAAGAAAATAACGTAACCTTTGTTTTTCGCAGAAAAATAACATTTATCTTTCTGAATGGTTTGTGATTCATATCGGCAAGGTAAACACGTGTATATTGCTCAATAAATTAATAGTGATGGCCGGAAGACAGGTGCTTTTGATAAACAATAAGAAATTCTCAAAAAACTACTTGACCAGTATAATCCAACTTTTTGTTGTTATTTAGAAGTATGAATCCTACGGATTTGAAGAATTTCAAGTAGTTAAATCTTATATGAAAAGTTTTTCCGTTCCTTTCAACACTTTCGATTGAATACCAAAAAACACGTTTTCTCATTCTTTGTTGTCAAATAAAAAGTTTTCCCACAAAAATTGGTGTACCCATTTTATGCGTCCATGTTTTAAGTACCTCCTTCAACAACTTAGACCAATAAAACCAGACTTTACAATTATTTCGGGGAATTTCGCTAATATGATTAGACTAAAAAGCAATGTTATCTGTTCCTTTTTTCTCAAGAAATGTGTGCATTTTTTCTTAAACCGTAACTTCTTAATGAATAATAGTATCTACAGCTGTAAAATTATATATGAATATTCCACGTTTATGGAAGACTGCAAGTGCTGATTACTTGTTTTCTTATCGCTTTGCTGCAAAAAGAGGTTTAGAGCAAATCAACATTTTTTCGAAGAGAAATAATTATAAGAATAAAAGTAATCAGCCGTTTCGTTCTTCCATAAAAGTGGAATATTCACATACAGTTTCAGAGCTGTGTTAATATCCCTCAACAGGTTACCGTTGGAGAATGAATGCACAATAAAATGTACAAAAAATCTTTTTATTTACAAAAAACATTGATAACATTGTTTTTTAGTCATCTCTGTCCACACCATGAAGAAATCGGATGACCCTGTATATTTGCGAATATTTTAAAAATGTACCGTGCATAGCAATCGTAAAAAGTTGATAGCCACTGTAATGAATTTACAGTTTTTGGTAGAAAAATCCGATTTTTGGATCCTAACCCATTATGATAAAAAACTGATATCTAATTAGAATCATATATTTCGCAAAATATCGAGGTGCCGTTAACGGAAAAAATGTCAGTCAGCTGGATATTGAAAATATAGAAATTTTATAAATGGGTGAATATACGGTATTTGGGATTCTAATTTTCGTCCGATAAGCGGGATGATAGTTTGAAACTAGTGCAATTTGGCCTACTGAAACCAGCGGTTTCAGGATTCAACTTGGTATCTATAATATAGTTGTGAATTTCAATGGTATATTACTGCAACTACGTAAAAAACAACGATTCTTAAATACGCAGTCATTAATCATATACGATAAAACAAAAATTAATGTATCTTGGTGGTGTTGGTGGCTGGGCTTCTTTACACTTCGGCTGCTTTATTTCGACAGATCTCGTATCTCGGATAACCTATTGTTGCTATGCTTTCGTTCGTTGTCCACCTGATACCAAGCCTAAACAATGCTTGCTCTGAGTTGAAAAAAGGCACGA